TTGCCATACGTACCCGTTTCCTGGCTTGCTTGCATGTTGCTGTCCTAATTTGTAGCCTCAGCTTAGCTTCTTCCATCCCACCCAACACCATATCAGTGGCTCTGGATGACTGCCGCTACAGGACCTGCTGTGAGCCTTCCACCTTTGCTGGACATTGGTTGAATGACTGCCATATCATGTTCCTGCTTAGGCCATAACCTTCGGCAAATAGAGCTGGGAAGATGCTGGCCCAACGGTGAAAATTACCGCTCTTGCTGTGATTTGAACAGTAAGATGCAAATGCGTGGATGATTTAAGACAAGGGAAGACGACAAACTCAGTAAAGAATGGGGCACAACACGTCGGAACGAATAACTGCAGAAAGCAGGAGAGGCATGAAGAATGGAAAAGGGGAAAATATTACGCTGAGAGTGAGAGATACGCGTATAACCAACCAACCAACCTTAGGCTTGAAGAAATTGAGTAGCTATAGCGATTTGAAGAGTGCAGCTGTTACAGTAACCTGCTTGCAAGGACGAAAATGGAGGGTCGCAAGACAGGTACAGGAGAAAGGGAGTGAGTGAGAGCATGGCAGAAGGTAGAGAAGGTATATGAGGGAATTGCTGTTGGGATGAGAGGGAGGAGAGGGAATCGAAGGAGAGCTAGAGTGGAAGACTTAAAGGACGAATAACAAGAAGTCGAATGGGAGCAGGAAATGTAATGGCATAAACGCATGGAATTGCGGCAATGAGAGGACACGCAGGGATGGAAAGAGTCACGGCAGGCAGGATGAGGAGAGGGAGGAGCGAAAGAAGAAAAAAAGGAGAGTGAAAGTAGAGAAAATAATGGGGACCGTCAGATGCCATCTGGTGCCATCGGATGCCATTTGGGCAATTGATTCCGTGTGGTGCCATGCCATCTGATGCCATCTGGTGGAATATGATGCCATACGATGGCATCCCATGCCTGATGTCATCAGCTGATGCCATTTGATCCATCTTGTACCATCTTATGCCATCTGAGACATTTGGTGCCATGCCATCAAATGCCTTGCGGCGCCAATTGATGCCAGCTGATGCCACATGATGCACTCTAATGCCATTTGATGTCATTCAATGCCACCTGGTGCAGCTCAATGCCACGTGATGCCATCTCATGCCAACTGAGGCCTTTGATGCAGTATAATGCCATCTATTCCCAGCTGATGCGGTATGATGCCATCCCATGCCATTCGTGCCATTCATTTCTTCTGATGCCACATGATGATGCCAGTTGATTGCATGTGATGCCATCTCATGCCATCTAGTGTACACAGTGGAACATGCATGATGCATACGATGCCATCCGATCCCATTAATGCCATCTGATGCCATGTCGTGCCATGTAATGCGATGTAATTCCATTTGATGTTAGGCGATGCCATCTACTGCCACCTCGAGCCATCTTATGCCATCTGTGACATTTGATACCATCTGATGCCAAAGATGTCAGCTGATACCACTTGATGCCATCTCATGCCATGTGATGCCAGCTGATGCCATCTCATGCCATCTCATGCCAATGTGATGTCTTGTTATGCCATCTGATGTCAGCTGATGCCATTCATTAACTTCTGATGTCAAAAGATGTCATCTGATGTCATTTAATGCTAATCAATGCTGCCTGATGCCATCCCACGCCATTTGAGGCCATTTGTTGCAGTATAATGCCATCTCATGCCATCTGATCTGATGCCATCTGATGCCATTTCATGCCCAAGAATGCCAAATGGAAAAGGTCAAATGCGTGAGAAAGAGGGGAGCAGAGTGTGACACGCCGAAGTTGGGTGGAGGGGGGAGGGGGGAAGAGGAGTGACACGAAGGATGCAAACAAGGTTGCTGGAAGAAAGTCGAGGGGCCAATGGACATAACATGGGGAGAAGGCATAAGGAACAATATGTGGCGAAATATGTGCGGAAAGAATAGGGCAGTACCAAGGGAGCGGTGATGAAAATAATTGTTGGAAGCCACGTACTCGTGACAGCTGGATGTATGACCTCGTTCAAGAGCAGGCGGCTTGTCAACGACCTAGGGATCGACGAGGAGGGCATGAGTGGGAGGGTGAGAGCTGTACTCCCTATAGCTCAGAGGGATACAAGCATGTCTAGAATAGTGACACCTCAGTAAGAAATTTGATTTAAATGATTGGATGAGTCATCAACAACAGACAGACTGGAGCAAATAATTAATAACAGTCTAGAGCTACACGAAATCATCACTGGAGGTACACGAAATCACACTGAACGTCAGAAAAATCATGCCTTTGACACTGATATCTGGAGGCCAGAATCCTAATTACAACTTCTTCTTGGCATGCACAAATTTCTTATGGAAGAGAGACGAAGGCAGTGTAACTCTCGCGAGCAGCAGGCAGGGCACTGCGAGGAAGGGCAGGTAGATGGCTAGCAGCTTCTGACGCGTGGACCACGGGGATGAGCTCAGTGCGATCTCCGAGAGAATCGGAATCTGCAGGGATGAGAACAGGGAGACAATGGAGAGCAGCAGGCAGGGCACGGTGAGGAAAGGCAGGTGGCGGGTAGAACCGGGGAATGGACTTAGTGTGATCTTGGAGGAAACAAGGATCCGGAGGGGTGGGGAAGGGAGTGGGGGAGGTAGGTACAATACTATTTTTTTTCGGAAGAGAGACAAACGAAGGGAGCATAACTGCAGTGAGCAGCAGGCGCCAGGGCAGTGACTGACGGGTGGGGTGGGCCCGATGAAATGGGGGTGGGCCAGAGGAAATGGGGATGGGCCAGAGGAAATGGGGATCTGCTTGTGGGAGAGCGGCGATACCATGCCCTCATGGCATTACCATAGATGGTGCTCATGGCATTACCATAGATGGTGCTCATGGCATTACCATACATGGTGCTCATGGCATTACCATAGATGGTGCTCATGGCATTACCATAGATGGTGCTCATGGCATTACCATAGATGGTGCTCATGGCATTACCATAGATGGTGCTCATGGCATTACCATAGATGGTGCTCATGGCATTACCATACATGGTGCTCATGGCATTACCATAGATGGTGCTCATGGCATTACCATAGATGGTGCTCATGGCATTACCATAGATGGTGCTCATGGCATTACCATAGATGGTGCTCATGGCATTACCATACATGGTGCTCATGGCATTACCATAGATGGTGCTCATGGCATTACCATAGATGGTGCTCATGGCATTACCATACATGGTGCTCATGGCATTACCATAGATGGTGCTCATGGCATTACCATAGATGGTGCTCATGGCATTACCATACATGGTGCTCATGGCATTACCATAGATGGTGCTCATGGCATTACCATAGATGGTGCTCATGGCATTACCATAGATGGTGCTCATGGCATTACCATAGATGGTGCTCATGGCATTACCATACATGGTGCTCATGGCGTTACCATAGATGGTGCTCATGGCATTACCATAGATGGTGCTCATGGCATTACCATAGATGGTGCTCATGGCATTACCATGCATGGTCCTCATGGCATTACCATACATGGTGCTCATGGCATTACCATAGATGGTGCTCATGGAATTACCATACATGGTGCTCATGGCATTACCATAGATGGTGCTCATGGCATTACCATGCATGGTGCTCATGGCATTACCATAGATGGTGCTCATGGCATTACCATACATGGTGCTCATGGCATTACCATAGATGGTGCTCATGGCATTACCATAGATGGTGCTCATGGCATTACCATGCATGGTCCTCATGGCATTACCATACATGGTGCTCATGGCATTACCATAGATGGTGCTCATGGCATTACCATAGATGGTGCTCATGGCATTACCATAGATGGTGCTCATGGCATTACCATACATGGTGCTCATGGCATTACCATACATAGGTGCTCATGGCATTACCATATATGGTGCTCCTGGCATTACCATACATAGGTGCTCATGGCATTACCATATATGGTGCTCCTGGCATTACCATACATAGGTGCTCATGGCATTACCATACATGGTGCTCATGGCATTACCATACATGGTGCTCATGGCATTACCATACATGGTGCTCATGGCATTACCATACATGGTGCTCATGGCATTACCATACATGCTGCTCCTGGCATTACCATACATGGTGCTCATGGCATTACCATACATGCTGCTCATGGCATTACCATACATGGTGCTCATGGCATTACCATACATGGTGCTCATGGCATTACCATACATGCTGCTCCTGGCATTACCATACATGGTGCTCATGGCATTACCATACATGGTGCTCCTGGCATTACCATACATGGTGCTCATGGCATTACCATACATGGTGCTCATGGCATTACCATACATGGTGCTCATGGCATTACCATACATAGGTGCTCATGGCATTACCATACATGGTGCTCCTGGCATTACCATACATGGTGCTCATGTCATTACCATACATGGTGCTCATGGCATTACCATACATGGTGCTCCTGGCATTACCATACATGGTGCTCATGGCATTACCATACATGGTGCTCATGGCATTACCATACATGGTGCTCCTGGCATTACCATACATGTTGCTCATGGCATTACCATACATGGTGCTCCTGGCATTACCATACATGGTGCTCCTGGCATTACCATACATGGTCCTCATGGCATTACCATACATGGTGCTCATGGCATTACCATACATGGTGCTCATGTCATTACCATACATGGTGCTCATGGCATTACCATACATGGTGCTCATGGCATTACCATACATGGTGCTCCTGGCATTACCATACATGGTGCTCCTGGCATTACCATACATGGTCCTCATGGCATTACCATACATGGTGCTCATGGCATTACCATACATGGTGCTCATGGCATTACCATACATGGTGCTCATGGCATTACCATACATGGTGCTCATGGCATTACCATGCTGTCAATGGCATAACCATAGTGCTCATAACATCACCATGGGGCTCATGCATGGGATGGATATGGGGAGACTGACCATGTTGGTGATGGCATGCCCAGAGTAGGCAATAGCCGGCACGCGGATCCACTCTCCACCTGAGACGTGCATCAGACACAAGGGGCATGAGGGATGGGGCATGAGGGAAGAGGCATGAGGGATGAGGGATGATGCATGAGGGATGATGCATGAATACATGAGAACAGTGCAGAAGGCGTAGATCGCTGCGACGAAGAGGCTAGGAAAGAGAGGAGCCACGGGTGGGCAGCAGAATGACCCACCAGTGCAGAAGGCGTAGGGCTACGAGGAAGAAGGGCACATGCAGTAGGAACTGAGAGATGACGAGGGAGAGGAACCACGGCTGGGGCGAGCCTGTGAGGTGGGAGGTGGGGGGACGGGGGGCGAAGGGGGTGGAAGTGGAAGAAGGGATAAACAGTGCATTTAGGTGACCAAGGTGCACTGACGGGGACATGGACATGCAGCAGCGCCTGGGAGATGACGAGAGAGAGGAACCACGGCTGGGGCGAGCCTGCGAGAGGGGTGGGTGGAAGCAGAAGAGGGGAAATCGGTGCATTGAGAAGGAATGGCAGCAGCAGCTGAGAAGGAGAGGAAGGAGAGGAACCAGGGCTGGGGCGACCGGGGGTGGGTGGAAGGAGGAGAGGAGGTGGAAAGAGGTGAGGAATTGGAGGAGAAGTGGAAAAAGCGAGGAGGAGAGAGGGCAGGGTGCATTAAGGGAGAATGGGCAGCAACAGCAGCTGAGATGCGACATGGGAGAGGAACGAGGGGTGGGAAGAGAGTGCAGGAAGGATGGAGAGGATGGAGGCATTGAGGTTAGAGAGGGAAGGGAAGGGAATGGACAGACAGGAGAGGTGGGAGCGAAGTGAGGGCAGGAAGGCAGGCAGGACGACTGGCGCTCTCAGAAAGCAACTATCTTCCAGCAGCAGGTGACAAGGGAGAGGAACCAGGCCTGGGCGAGCTTGCAACAGGGCTGGAAGGAGAGGACTGCATGTACATTCTGACATGCCTACATGAAGACTTGGCACGGAGCATGAAATGAGAAGCAAAATGGGGTTTAGCAGTTCTCGTGCCGTTCAGGTAACCTCCTCCTCTCACTGCATTTTCTAAATGGCTTTAGAGAGGGAGTGGGCTTTCCGACGCGGGAAGACCTGTGAGGCCTCCAGGTGCCACATGAGAACAAGGCGTAACAAATGTGTTTTTCTTTTTTTTTTCCGATTTTTTTTTTTTTTTGTTTTTTTGTTTTTTGTTTTTTGTTTTTTTTTTTTTTTTTTTTTCTATATAAAGCTTACAATGAGGAAGTTCTTAGAGGAATCCACCTGCCATGTCATGGCACGTGCGTATCGCACTTGGGAAGAGGGCGCGTGGCATTCTCTCTGTGCGCCTCGAAAATACGAAGAATTCGGTAAGTAGACTCACCGACCAGGAAGTCCCCTGAGGTCTCGACGTGCCACGTCACAGCGCGGCGTAACGCCTCTGGGAAGATGGCGCGCGGCAGCAGCATCTGCGCGTCGATAAGAACGGCGGTGAGCACGTGGACGGCGAAGAAGAGTACGAAGAATACGTCGAACGGACGCTGCGCGAGCGGCACGGCTCGCGTGATGCTAGTCGTCGTCATGATCGCGATAAGAACGTGCGAAGACGCTGGGAAGGTGTTGGTGTTACGCGGAGGTCTAGGTTTAGGTTTTGCGCCGTTTCAAGGCGCTTTGCAGAGGCGTTGGTGTGCCTTTCGTGGCTCCTAAAGGAACAACGAAACTTCAATAAATTAATGATAGAATGCGATGCGTGCCGCGCGTGTTGATGGAGTAAGTACGCTATACGCGCTTGTGAGCTGGAATCGCTTGACACAGTGCGCTCTAATTTCTCCAAGTGTGCAATGCTGGCATCGTCAAGTGGTTTAGATCGTTCGGAGAACTGATATGCAAGGTCCACGGCGGTGCCTGGACTCGAATGGGAGAAAGCATTTCCTGGGGTTGGGTTGTTTTGCATCTGATTGTCACGAACATGTGCGACTGTTACAAGCATACAGTGTCGCGAAAGCGTTTCGCTTCGCTTGACCTGGACGCTCGAGAATCTCGCAGCGAGGTGTTAGTGCTCACTTTCGTTCACGTTTGCGATGTTGAAAATTCGGGTTACCTCAGGCTAGAAACTGGCAGCAAGTGCGTTTTCAGGCAAGGAGGTCCCACAGCAGGCGATTACACGACACAATAGCGTTGAGCATCCTAGCAATCGACGGCTCCGTTCTACTGATCTCGACTTAGATTGTGGTCCGCAAAGTTTCGATCCATTGCCGTGGTGAGTGCCAGTCGTGAACATCCAAGCAGCAGCGAGCACGGAAAAAGGTTTGGGCTGGGTGGCTTCACGAGATCACGTGGGTAGTGAGTGACGATAACCCAGGATAACGGTCGTCGTCACTTCTGTGAAATAGCAAATCGCGAGGGATCATTAGGGTTTTTTGGGATCCATTGGGACCGATTAGGGTAAACGCCTCCGCCCTAGAGCCCAAGACACGCGAGCAAGGCGAGGATGTGAGACGAGCGAAGTAACGAGGCAAGCGGTACGATTGTATTCACGCGAGGCAATGAGCTGGATGTGAGAGACGCGAGAGTGAGAGACAGCCTTGCGGCTGCCGGCACATTGTCTTGTAGTCCAGTTATCCCATTGATTATCAATTAAATCTCATATTTACCTTAAAGTATCCGGGGTTTCGCCAGAATCTCATTGTGGCGTCAGCGATGCCTCCATTACAAACCCACCGGGGTTTACAGAAGGTGCTGTATGTTGCGACTTCGTCGTTTCTGGATATCGAAACAGAAGAAGCTTGACAAGAGGCTCGAGCCATAGTTTCACTGGAGCTTGGTCGCAACACCAGCCGCTGTCAGCTTCAGTTTAGGTATTAGGGTTAGGGTTTAGGGTTAAGTTGTCCAGGCAGTCCACCCTTTCCCCCACTTCGGACCTTGTCCCTCTTAGCCTTTTGCCCCTTGTTCCACTCCATTTCTGGTTTCTCCAAAATTTCCTCTTCCACAGATCAGCCTGCGTCAGCCCATCGCCGACTCTCCCTTGCCATCCTCTTTCTCTTCTCTCAGTTCCTCCCTACCATCACCTCCCATCACCTCCCATCACCTCCCATCACCTCCCATCACCTCCCATCACCTCCCATCACCTCCCTCCACCCCCCTCCAACCCCCTCCAACCCCCACCAGCTCCCATCACCACCACATCGCCATGACGAGAGCGCGGAAGCATGTGAAGGCGGGCGCGCTGGGGGAGCGTGTGAGTGTGAGCGAGGGCGAGCAGATTCTGCGCGTCGTGGCTCCCCGCGGCAGCAACCTCATCGAGGTAAGGGGGGAGGGGAGGGAGGGAGGGGAGGGGGACGGGGGAGGGGGGAAGAGGAGGGGGGAGGAGTGGGCGAGGGCGAGCAGATTCTGCGCGTCGTGGCCCCCAGGGGTAGCAACCTCATCGAGGTGCGATGAGGTGTTTTTTTTGGGTGGTAAAAGGGTAGAGATTGGAGGGGCGGAAGAGGGGGAGGGAGTGGGGGGGGGGGGGGGGGGGAGGGTGGATGGGGGGATGGAAAGCGGGGTGCATTTCAGGGGCAGCAACCTCATTGGGATCAGATGAGAGTTCATATCAGGGTCATTATCCTATTTTTCCTCTCCTCCCGGCCTCCTTGCGCTCCCTCCCCTCCCCTACTCCCTCCGGCTCCCCTCCCCTGCACTCCCCCCCTGCCCTCTTCATCCGCTGATATTCCCCCTCCCCCTCCCTCCGCTCTTCCCCCTCACCCCCACCACCACATCTGGAGGACGGCAAGGGCGCAGTCATGCTGTGCGTTTCTTGCGCCTCAGAATCTCACTCCGTCCTATTTCTTTTCCCCCTCCCGCCGCTCTTCCCCTCTGCTGCTCTCTCCACTCCCTCCACCCCCGCTCTTCCCATCCTTCCCCTCAGCTAGAGGACGGCAAGGGCACGGCCATGCTGTGCATGCTGCCAGCCAAGTTCCACCGCATGCTGTGGCTCAAGAGAGGTGGGAGTGGTTTGAGAGAGGTGGGAGTGGGTTGAGAGAAGTAGGAGTGGGTTGAGAGAGGTGGGAGTGGGTCAAGAGAGGTGTGAGTTGGTAAAGAGAGGTGGGAGTGGGTCAAGAGAGGTGTGAGTTGGTCAAGAGAGGTGTGAGTTGGTCAAGAGAGGTGTGAGTTGGTCAAGAGAGGTGTGAGTTGGTCAAGAGAGGTGTGAGTTGGTCAAGAAAGGTGTGAGTTGGTCAAGAGAGGTGTGAGTTGGTCAAGAGAGGTGTGAGCTGGTCAATGGAGATGGGCCTGGGTCAAGAGTTGCTGGTTCGACTCTTAGAGCCAGGGTCTCACGTACTACAAGTGCTTTGCAATTGATGGTGAAAGTGTGGCTTTGATTGGTTGGCGAGGTGTAAGGTTCGAAGTGGGGTGAAGCGAGGGGTGCGAAGCGAACATAAATCGATGGGGGTAACCGAACCATCTAGGCTTGGAAACTTGGTTCGGAGCCAAACCTAAAATGCCCCCAACTCGTCGAAAGTCTCAAGTACCCAAAAGTGTTGTGCAATTGCTTTTGGGGCAGTGACGCAAGCTGAGTTTCCAACCCAACCAGAGACAACTTCACCAGCACTAACTTGGTTACCTAGCTTCAAGTGCTTTGCAGTCGATGGCTCCTTAGCTTTACATGAGACCCTGGCTTTAAGAGGTGGGAGCAACTCTATATAGGTGTGAGCGGTAGGAAGCACCTGTGTGAATCTGGTTCTCAGGCACCTAAACAAAAAAGTTGCACCTTTCGTTCAGCCTTGTTCGTGGCTGACTGTGGGCCCACTTTGATTGTGACTCTATTCTCCATTCTGTTTGCCCCAATACTCACCGTACTGTGGCAAATGTTGAGATATATTTTACTATGCAGTTTTTTTCTCACATTATATGGCCCCCATACTTGACTTGAGCCACAGCATGTGGTGTTAGTCTTAGTCACCTAGCAGATTTTATCTCATTTGCAATCACATCGCATCCGCATGCATTTGCCTTATCAATCTCCTACTTCCCTCACCTTTTGTGGTGGCAGACGAGAGTGCAGCAGAGGAGGTGGCGAAGGCAGGCGGGAGAGTGAGAGGCAACTTTCGAGGCGCCTCAAAACTCCTTGCCTCCCCCACCCCACCCACCAGGCAGTTTTGTGGTGGCAGACGTGAGTTCAGCAGAGGAGGTGGATAAGGCAGGCGGGAGAGTGAGGGGAAGCATAACGGCTGTCTTGTTTGACCACCACATTAAAGAACTCGTCGCCTCCAATCAGTGGTTCGTATAGATTTGTCTTGTAGGCGACCCAAACGGAGAGTGAGAGGCAGCATAACGGCTGTCTTTTTTTACCACCTCGTTAAAGGACTCGTCGCCTCCAATCAGTGGTTCGTTGTCTCCACACTAACTTTCTACTCCTGCGTCACCTTTCTGTTTTTTTCCTGGCCTCTTGCTTCTGTATTCTCACTTCACCACCCATCCTTATGTGCTTCGTCTGTTCTCTGCATTTCACTAGTCCAGTGAGATTCGACCAAATACCTCCTTCTTTTCAACCATTCCTCACTTCTTATACCTATTGTACAAACGACAGGCCAGAGGCGTTTGCAGAAGCAGTAGTAAAAGAAAGAGCCGTAGCATCAACATCAGCACCATCGGAGCAAAGCCAAGAGCAAGTTGCAGAGCACAGCTCACTTGGAGAGGAAGGGCAGGCTCTGCGGAGTTCCCAAGGCAGCGCAAGGGAGGGGCCAGAGGAGCCAAGGCAAAGAACAACTAGAGGGGATGGGCAGGGGAAGGAAGAGGGGGTGGGAGAGGAAGAGGAGGGTGAAGATGAGGAGGACGATGGATTGCCTCCTTTGGAGAGGAATCCAAATCATCGACCAATGTTCGTGGAGGATGTTTCAGATGATGAAGACAGCGACGAGGATGAGTAATTCATGTTACATGCAATTCCGTGTACATCTTTGCAAGCTAAAGCACAGATGTCCCTAATTTTATTCCACTTGATTATTTCATTAGCCTTAAAGCCCAAGACCTGAATTGCTCAACGCAAGTCAACGCGGGGCAAAACTGTGGGCTGCGGGAGGCAAACTGTGCACAGTTTGCCTTCCTTTTTTGTAATTCGGGTCTTGGGCTTTAAGGCGTTTGTTATTGAAGTTGTTGGGCTGAAAAGGTTTATGCAAGCTCCATGCAAGAAAAAAGTTGGTTACTGTAGTTCTATACTGTACAAATATCTCGGCACCACACTCTAGACGTCGTTACACAAGTTCCTTGCTATAGGGAGTACAGGACTAATCTTCCCCTCATCTTCTCCTCGTCGATCCCTAGACAAACTGCCACTCTTGAATGAGGTCATACTGTCAGAATATTATGCTCTAGCCTGTAGTGGGGTGCTCTATAGCGAGTACAACCCTTAGGGTTTGCTATTTGTATCCTCATTCTTGCTAGTGCAACCCCCTCTTCTTCCTTTTAAAATTTCACATGCTATCAGAGCAGGTCGATCCCCTTGGATCGATCCTGTGGGTGGGCTCACCACCTCGTTGCTTCCGCTGCAACTTCCACTGCTACCCTCTGTGCCGCACGCCCCGTGGCGTGCGGCAGTTTTTCTTCCCGCCGTGCGCCCCGAGGCGCGCGGCGGTTTTCTGCCCGCCGTGCGCCCCGTGGCGCGCGGCGGTTCTCTGCCCGCTGTGCGCCCCGAGGCGCGCGGCGGGCTTCTGCCCCGTCACTCGGCGCGTCGCCCTCGGGAGGCGCTGCGACGGGCGACGGGGACCCGCGCGTCGCCCCCCGTCGCCCGTCGTGGCCTGCGCGCGGCCCGTACAGGCTGCGCGCGGCCCGTAAGGGCTGCGCCAGGCCCGGACGCGGCCCGTACGGGCTGCGCCAGGCGAGCGCGCGGCCCGTACGGGCTGCGCCAGGCCCGCGCGCGGCCCGTACGGGCTGCGCCAGGCCCGCGCGCGGCTCGGGCCGCCTGCGCGCGGTTCGGGCGGCTGTGCCAGGCCCGTGGGCGGCCCTTTCCTCGCTGCCCCTGCCCTCCCCGCTGTCCCCCGTGCTTCTACTGGCGCCCCACCCCTCCTACAGCCCGTTCTCCTGAATTAGGGTTTGGGGGTGAGGGGTATGGGGGTGAAGCCACTGTGTGCCGTTCCCTGCTCCTCCTCCTCCTCCGTCTCCCTGTGCTGCAGCTGCCGCTGAGGGGGGGTGGACTTGTTGGAGCCGTTGGAGTGGTACTAAGGGGGGGTGAAGGGGGAGTGGAGCTAGCGGTGTAGCAGCGGGTGTGTGTCAGGGGGAGTGGGATAGTTTGGGGAGGTTGAAGGGGGTGGCCGCCGTGAAGCCAGCAGCTCCAGTCGCCCGTGAGACCGTTGCGCCAGTCGCCCGTGAGCCCGTTGCGCCAGTCGCCCGTGAGCCCGTTGCTCCAGTCGCCCGTGAGTCCGTTGCTCGTCTGCCGCTACTTTTAGCCGCGGAGCCAGTTACTCCAGTAGCCCGTGTGCCAGTTGCTCCAGTTGCCAGTGTGCCAGTTGCTCCAGTTGCCCGTGTGCCAGTTGCTCCAGTTGCGCCGTGTGCCAGCAGCTTCAGCTGCCGCCCACTACCTCCTCTCCTCTCATAGTCTCTTTCCTCCTCCTCACTTGCCCGTTGTGACTACCACTAGCTTTGCTCATAATTGTGAACTTTAAACTATTGCTTCTTGAACTTGTGCTCAGAATGTGTGGTGACATTGTGATCCACCCTGAGCTTGTACTGCTTTGCTTGCTCTGCTGATTACACCCCACTTTGGCTATGGGGGTGTGTCAGAATATTATGCTCTAGCCTGTAGTGGGGTGCTCTATAGCGAGTACAACCCTTCTAGGGTTTGCTATTTGTATCCTCATTCTTGCTAGTGCAACCCCCTCTTCTTCCTTTTAAACTTTCACACATACTTCCAGCAGTCAAAATTATGATCACTTGAGCTCAAATTCCCGAAAGCATTTTCGGTTATGCGACACACTCTGCCTTGCGAGGGAGCTGTTGACGAGAATATTCGCAAAATATTACTGGTCAAGACTCGGGTGGTAACCGCTGGTCGCAATAGTGTCCGTTAGAGACGGAGGTGAAAATGCGGGTATGGGGTGAGACGCCACGAAATTGCACGAAACCGGAAACCCTGAGGAAAAACGGTCCGTAATCCCGCTCGGGCCTCCGTAACCCGGGCCCCGTAATGGGGCGAGGGTTACGGTGTCCTCACGCGGGGCACGCTAGGAAACCGACGAACCAAGGGCTGGGCACTCGGCCGCCCACTCCCTGCGACGGGATTGGGCGGCCGACCCTTGGCCCCGAGCCGGGGACACATGACGGGGCGTTTCCGATGGCCCCCAATCCCACGCCAGCCCGGGCCACTCTGACGCAGCCCGGGCCACACTGACGCAGCCCGGGCCACGCTGACGCAGCCCGGGCCACGCTGACGCGGCGAGGTGGGGACCACTGGATTCGCCCTCCGAGCAGGCTCGGGACCAGGGCACGATCGCGCGAACCACGTAGGGTTACCCGCGCTACCTACCGTCTAACCCCGGATATAAGCGCCACGGCGCTTATAATAAAATCGGTTTTTTTAGGGGTGGCGCTTGTAATTGAATAACGGCCATAAGCGCCGGTGCTTATATAATGACAAATACAAATTTATACTTTAAAGGTACCAAACTGTACCTTTCATTGTTGCCATTTCAAACGAGTCGAAATAATATAGCGTCACAAAGCAGAATCGCGCGCAAGCGATTCTGCTTCCTGTACACGGGCAAATTCGCGTCACTTCGCAGGCATGCCAGCACATCCTGACTGGACGTGCAGCCAGTCTGGTCTTCGCGAGTCAAACGAAGCGAAAATGAATTTTGACTCGCTGCAAAATTGAAATTCGTTACCGATTAAAACTGAGATATAAATTAAAAATGGGGGGGCGCTTATAATAAGTAATGGTTTTCTAGGGGGGGCGCTTATAATCGAGTTTTGGCCATAAGCGCCATGCTCCAGATAGAAGCGCCGGCGCCTGTAATAGGCCGGCGCCTATATCCGGGGCCATACGGTATGTAGGTGCTCGCGAAAACCTCTTCGTGTGTGAATCTTGTTACGCGACCTCCTTGTTTACAGAAAGTTTGAAAATCACCCACTGTGATGCGCGAATTCAACAACAGCGAAGCGTACACGCAAAAAGCAGGAACTCGGCGTAAACCGGGCCCGTCCAACCGGGTATGAAAAATGGACCCGCCCCCACCCCAAAATTCAATCGGGCCAGGCTCGGTCATCGAAACACCCTAAACCGAGCCTGTAGCCTTCGCGCACGTGGGCGAAATGCATGGAATGCATGGGTGCGAGGGACGGCGACGTCTGACCACAGGTCATTCGTCGTTCCGAAGCAAGCACGGAGGCTGGTTCGGGCGGTGGTCTGGGATGGGCCGTGGGCCTAAATAGGTCGAAAGGGGGATACTTGGCTCTCATTTTCGCTTTTTCATTTTGCTTTCTAACTTTCTTGCTTTTGCTGCTCTCGTTTCTTCTCTCAACCTTTCCATCGCTTCAGCGCCCACATCGGCCCGTGGCAGGTGAGCAAGGGGATACGTGGGGTTATATGTCTCTCGGGTTATGTATCTCTCTTTGGGGTTGTGTCACGTGCATGTATAATTTGTGGTGGTTGCGGTCTGGATTCGTGGTGGTGTTGCGCCCCTGCGCACGTAGAATTTTCGTGCACGGATTCGTGGTGGTTGCTCGCACTTGTGCACGAATAGTTTTCGTAGACGATCACGCAAAACTTATATTGCTGTGTTTTTGTACGCACGAATAATTTTCGTGCACCAGCACGCGTATATTTTCTTGCTGTGTTTTCGCCTGCTCTGACGTTCGTGTTTGCACATGTAGCTTTTGCGTGGATGTCGAATGTCCAGTATGACCCGTGAACTGCGTGACCTGTTGGACCCGATGGAGTCCCTCCGGATGTTTGACGTAACGATTGAGGGCGGAGGCACGTCCGCGTCGCTAAAGGCCGAGTACAAGAAGTGCCTGTTGGATGACGACACCGAGTTCACGAACCCGTGCCTCGATTTCGCGTGCATGTATGTGTGTCGTGATTTGATTTTCGCGTTTCGCGGTACTAAGATGGCTGTATTTGTTACGAGTATCCCTTCTCCTTGTCCCAACTTCCGCTCTGCAGCTTCATACTCGAAAAATATGGTGGGGACCACGCGCAAACGGCGCGAATTTTCACGGCCGCCGACATGCGCGAGCGGCATCAGACTTCGGTCGTTGACGTGGACATGATGCAGCTCGAGATGCTCGTTTTCCTGTTTTGGTCAAAGTAAGTCACGAATGGTTTGGCGCTTAACGTTTTCTCGTGGCACAACTCAGCGCTGTTGAAAACCTGTTATAAGCGGCCGTTGATTATGTTTGCTTTTCAGATTCGAGGAGGACGAACCGAAGTGCAGCATCTTGCTCATTTTGCATCCGTGCGATCTCGAACGCCCGGATGGTGAAGTTTGTCGCACGCGAATTCTTCACATCGACCCTTCCGTGAGGCCTGATCCGCATAGAAAGGACGCAGCGACCGCTATTGAGTGAGCACGACTATTGTTTTCGCTTTAAATTCGCTTTGTGTTTTGATGCTCTATTGACTCGAGTTTTTCGCGTTGACAGATTGTTTAGAGTTTACCTATACTCGATGGCTTCTTCTCTCCTTTCTCTGCTTCTTCCTGCGCGCCCTCTTGCTCTCCTCTCCTGGGCCTGGCTCTGGCCACGTTCGTCCTGTGATCTCTCTTCTCCTGCCCCTTCTCACTTACCAGGACCGCCACTCCTGAGTCTTTTACTTCTATTACTTTCCACCTCCTGATGCTCAGCCCTATGTCCATCATGTCTTGTCTGGCCTGCTTCACGTATACTTCTTCTCCCACTCCCAGTTCTTGCTCCCTCTTATTTGATCCGCCCTCCT